AATTATGATATTTTTTCAAAATTTTTGCATTTTTGGACTGCTCCATGAAGCCCCGCCCACTGTGAGAGGCTCCGCCCACTTTTCAAAAATGGTGCAAATCGGCAGTATAGAGCCATGGCTTGCATGGCAAGGGTATTGCTGGTCATTAGGAACAAACTTTGCCTGATTTATTTGTTCCGAGTGACGGACGAGACCCTAGCATGCAAGCCAAGGCTCTATACTGCCGATTTGCACCATTTTTGAAAAGTGGGCGGAGCCTCTCACAGTGGGCGGGGCTTCACGGGGCAGTCCAAAAATGCAAAAATTTTGAAAAAATATCATAATTCCGCAAACGGCAAGTGGGCGTGGCCAAAGGGGCGGAGCCTAAATTGCCGGTGCATGAATGCGCGTCTACGAGTACCTTCGTTGTGCGAAGAGTGGATGTGAAATTAAAAATTGAAAAAGTTATGAAGATTTGAAGTTCGCAAACTTTAAAGAATGGGCGGAGTCAGTCATGTGTTGAAAATCTATGTCCGCGCTGACAAGTAGGCGTGACCGTCGGGGCAGGGTTCGCGGTGGTGTCTGGCGTGATTTGGTTGGTGAACTGCCTGGTCTAAGAAGAGTGGTGAATTTGGTTTGGTTTGGAAGGTAGTGAAGTTAAAGTGGAAACGGTATATATGAGACATTAACTGGGAATTTTCCGGAAATCGCACCCGTTTGGGTGTGTTGCTAGACCGATGAAAACGAAATGATGGATCTATAAATTACGCAGATTGGGAATGTACCGTTTCAGGCGAACGCGATACCTGCTGGTAGAGCAGATTATTCAAGGTATATCGCTATTTCCACATAAGGGCAGACGGGTAATGAAAGCAATAATACGCGTATAATATGACACGATTAATGTATGGGGAGTGTACGGGACCGAAAGCCCACCTAATCTAGTGTCGCCTGCGCTCACTAGCTCGCATGAGCAGCTCAGGCGACAGCTCAACGCGGGAGCAGCGCCTCTGCGTCCCTTCCTCGAACCAAGCCTCTTCGGCATACAGCGCACACGACCAGGATCACACGCTCGGACAGCCAGGGCCGTTCAAAGACAGGCACAGACAGACAGGGGGCAACGTGCTAAAACACTGGAAACAGGGTACAGCGTCGTTGTGTGAAACACATGTGAGGGAGGTCACACTTGACTGCTGGGGGGGGGG